GAGTGGACTACAAGGCCAGATCACCGCGCTCTCCTGGCCACTTTCTTCAGGGGTGCCTCCTTTCTCTTGGGGCCGCCGGCGCAGAGACAGCACCGCTGGGACCGGGATAAATTCGGGATAAACTATTGCAAGCAAAACGTGAGCTTCGGCAGTGGGAGGAGTCGGGGGACGAGCGCCTTTTCACAGAGGTGGGAAGGCTTGCGTTGGCAACGCGTGACATCCTCCTCGACTTCCCCGCCATCCCCGAACCCGTCTCGGAAGCAGAGGTCCATGAGGCTTTCCAGGAGTTCGAGCACCGTGTCGTGTCGGCGACATCTTCTAACTTCACGGTCGAGCCCCCACAAAAGAGGATGAAACAGGCGAAGAAACGATTCTTGTTCAGCAATCCCACGCTCAAGCTTATCCAGGGAAACAAAGGATCTTGGGCCTCCTTGCCTAACCAGCTAACAACCAACATCGCATTCGAAGAATCTCTCTCCAGGCCGAGCTGCGCGAAGCCCGGAAACATGTGAAGCGAACCATTCGAGAAGAACGACGAAAAGAACCTCAGCTCCGCCTCGACGAAGCCCGTATAGGAGACACCCGTACAGTATTCAAGGTCATCGACAGGGTGGCCCCAAAACCTTCCGGCCAATGTCTAACCCCGAAGAACACCCGCGGTCGCTGCTGGACGGAGCGCCAGGAGCAAGACGAGCGAGTCCGCGCCCTACACGCCGTAGGAACCGCCGAGAGACTTCCGGCCTCAGGACGCTCCCGAGTGGCAGACCCTCCAGGAGCACATCACGGAACCCAGGGCCCGGGAGGCCATCACAAAGCTTCCATCCCGCAGGAGTGGTCCGCCTCTGCGGCCCCCCACAGAGGACTCCCCCAAGGCTTCGGGGTGCATTGCAGAAATTCTTCAAATCGTGGTGGCGGTGGTGGTCCCTACGGTGACGATGCTCTGGAACGCTTGCGCCAGGTTCGGGGAGGTCCCTCACTTTTTCAAGGACGGGGAGATGTGCTTCCTCCCGAAGCCAAACAAGGACACCACCGACGCCATCAATGGGTGGCGTACAATCAATCTTTTGCACCACTTAGGCAAGGCCCTGATCGGCATGATTATCAAGGCCTTCATGCCCAAGATCGGCCCGACCATGTCTAGATGCCAATTTGGCGGCCTACCGTTGAGGGGGACACGGGAGGCCATTGCACTCGTAGAGGAGACCCTCCAACGGTTTCGCCAAGCCCACCCGGGGAGAACAGGCAAAGGTCGTTCCCGGTGCAGTGCAGCCATCTTGTTTGATTTGGGAGGGCCAAGGCGTGGGAGGCAGGAAGGCCGAATTGGCGGGCCTGGCCCTCCTCATGAAAGAACTCCACGACGGTACTTGCTACTTCTTGAGGGACAAAGATTTCCGCATAGTTCGCCGAGTTAGGATTCGGCGGGGCGTCCAACAAGGGTCGTGTGAGGGCCCCATCATTTTCATATGCCTGTACGACCTCATCCTACAAGCCACGCGCGCTGCACAGCGAAATATGCACTACAAACCGATCACGGCTACGTTGTCCAGTGAACCAGTCGAGATTAACGATCACGAGGTAGTTGAGGTTCAGGAGGTCGCTTTCGTCGACGATTTGATTTCGCTCCTCGAATTTTCCAAGTTTTCGGAGGTCCAGGAGTGGGTCCAACAAGTCATTGCATGTTTCGCGATTCGCAGACGTGGGCATGCAAGCGAACATCCAGAAATTGGAGATACCGGTCCACGCAAACGGCCGAGGCTCTCGAAAAATCAACGCCCAAATCCGCAAACAGAAGATTTCTCCCATGATTCGTGGGGTCCATGTCGCGATCGGCACGAGGGCCGAGTATTTGGGGGCGCAGGTCGAGGCCAGCGTGAGCACCCAGGCGGAGACGACGGCCCGTATCAAAAAGGCTGGCCATGCACACCACAGGCTTACTCAGCGGGTCTGGGGGGGAGGGCAACGGGGGGCTTCGTCTCAAAGTTCGGGTGTGGTCAGCGTCAGTTCGTTCGGTGCTCTTGTATGCGGTGGCAGCGCATGTGCTCTGGAAGAGGGATCTGCTCCGGTACGAGAGGTGGCAGACGAAGTGCCTTCGGCGTATCGCCTGGACTCCTTCCCACCTAACCAGAGAGACGTCCGAGGATTTGCGGGCTAGGCTGAAAGTTCCTTCGATCACCTCGGTGCTCTTGGTCAGACGCTTGAAATGGTGGCGCAGCATTCTCCAGCCCGCCGTCTACAATGCCGATGGGGGAGCCCATCAGGGGCCGCCGGGGGGACGGCCCCTCCGCCGCCACCCGAGCAGCAGTTCTTGGATCTCTCTCGTTTGAAGGTGCGAGGTCGGGCCCTACGGATCGCAAACAGTTATTGGTAGCTGATCTCGCATGTCTTCGTCAAGAGTGCGCGCGGCAGGCCGACGCCGGAGATGATTTCTGTTCTGAAGTCTTATCACGGCTCTGCCCCCTTAATCCACGAGCAGCCCGCTTGTACTCTTCCGTGGTTGCGATGGCTCGCCCAGGCTCCCAACAAATGCCTTGCCCTTTTGCTGTCTTGGTCCAGTTCTGTTCAGGAGCGCGAGAAGGGCTTTCCTCGGTGTGTATGTGCTTGCGGCAAGGTGTGCAACGGAGAGCGGGGACTCAAAATCCACCAACAAGGTGCGTGTCCATTGTTTCAGGCAGAAGATGAACGTGACGCTGACGCAAACCCGGGCCAAAGCCAAGGCGAAAACATCAAAATGGGTATGCGAAAAATGTGATTCCACGTTCACGAAGAAAGAGGCCCTTCCCCGTCACCGTCATCATTAATGTCGTGCCGCTGCTGAGCTTGTACCTGCTGCTGAACCTGCCGCTGCCGCCGGCGATCGTGACCATGGCAACGCAATGCAAGAAGACGGGGAGGATCATGCTCGGGGACGTGGGAGAGGACGCCACAGACCCAGAGGGCGAGGACGAGGATCCAGAGGAGGGCGAGAATCCGGAGGAGGAGGACGGGAATCCAGAGGACGAGGACGGGGACCTGGGGAACGAGGGCAAGGATCCAGAGGAGGAGGGCGGGAATCCAGAGGACGAGGGCGGGGATCCGGAGGACAAGGGCGGGGATCTAGAGGACGAGGGCGGGGAACCGGAGGACGAGGACGTACATCCAGAGGACGAAGCATCCAGCGTTACGGCGAAAACCTGCCCGAAACACCATCACCGCCTCTGGCAGCGACTCCATCATCCTCATCTGCATTGGAAGCCGTTTTCACCCGAGTGTGACCCAAGGCTGATCCGCTCCACAGTCCGCCCGTCCAGGACCGACTAGAAGTCGATGTTCGCAGCTCAGCCCCTGCCAAACAAGCGGGCCGCCGAGGCCGCGGACGCGGGCGAGGATGTGGAGGGCGACGAGGCGCTCGGCAACCAGAAGCAGTTGTTGAAAGCAGTGGCGAGGCTGCTCCTTCAACACGAAGGGGAACGTCGTGCCCATGCGAGGGACGACAATATGGTGATGGATTTCGCCGAGGACTCCAGCCTCCAGACGCTGCTGGACAAGGCGGAGGAGTGTTACGACCAGATGGGCAAATCTGCCCGCCAGCCACCCGGAGGGCAAGAGGCCGGACGCGATGATGCGCAGCATTCTACAGCGCCTCGCCCAGGTCGTGCAGGAGGGGCAGGCCGTGCTCGGGCCCACCATCGCTCAGCTCCCGGATCCTTTGAAGACGGAGCTGACAGGGGCGTTCGCCCTTCTCCAAGGGTGGGGAGCCAAAGCAGCACCACACGCTGGGCGCGAGCTTCGCGCGACCCGCTGCTTCCACCTTCCACCGAACTCTGAGGACAAGGTGCGCTGGATCTTCGCGCTGAAGGCCGAGCCGAAAGTTGAGGAGATGTTTCAACTGTTTCGTGCCACTCAACGTCTGAAGCCTCTCGACATCTCGTTTCAATACGATTATGCGCTGGAGAGCACAGCGGCCAAGAAGGTGAAGGAGTTGGCCTTTGGTGGCGGTAAGAAGGAGGGCCGTGGGCCGAAGAAGGCCAAGACGTGAGGGGTGAATTTTTCAGCTTTGTGAATTTTCAGAGTGCAGCGGCAACGGCTTCCGGAAATCCATCCGACCGATAAACCGATCAACCGATAAAAACTAATCGGTTGAACGGTTTGCAAACCGATCAACCGAAAAACCGATATAATTTGATCGGTTTATCGGTGGATCGGTCGCTCAACCGAAAAACCTATAATCTTCGTATGCGAACATAGAGGCGATTGCTGGCGCGCCCCCCTCTCTTCGTCGGTTTTTTTGTTTATCGGTTTATCGGTTCATCGATTGACTGGCTGGTCTGAGACCGCTGGGGGGGAACCTGTGGAAAGCGATCCTTGTGCCGCATATCGGTTTATCGGTTTATCGGTTTATCGGCTGGTTGTCAGTCCCCCGCCACGACGACGACGGCGACGGCGACGGCGTGAGTTTTGTGTTTGGCTCTGGCGCGGACGGCGCACCCCGCTCTGGGGCGGCTCGGCTTGATCAGCCTGAGTCTCTGGTGCGGACGGAGTCCCGCAGGGGTCTGAGCATCTCCCGCCCCGCGCGATGCTTTGCGCGGGTAGTGCAGGGCCTGCGAGGGTCTCAGGCGACAGTGGCCGAACCAACTGGGGGCAGGGCATATGCGAGGTCGTTGTCTCAGACGAAAGTGGCCTGAAAAGGTCAGCTATAGGCGTCTCGGAAGCCGCCGTTGCGAGGATGTCGCAGGCGAAAGTGGTCGGACCGCCATGGGGTAGGGCACCTCCGAAGTCAGAAGTGCGAGGGCGCCCCGGGCGAAAGTTGTCTGAACATCGCATCCCGGGGCAGATCGGGGGTCAGACTATTTCAAGGCTGGGCACATCCCCCCCAGGTGAACGAGGCGAGTTTTTGCGTGGGCGGAAATGGCCAGCACAATTTGGGGCAGGGCATAACAGAGGTCAGCGTTGCGAGGATGTCTCAAGATGAGGCAGAGGAAGGTCATGCTGATGATAATGATGGCGATGGCGGCAGCCGCGCGGGAGGCAGAATCTGGCGGGGTAAATTTCGGTGGGGAGCAAAATCTGGCGCGCCATTTTGCGTCGGTCTGGATCACATTGTACGAAAGGGCGGACGGCGATCGGCCCCAGGAGCAGAGCCTCGACAAGATTCCACGAGGAGCAGAGCCCCGGCAAGACTCCGGGAGAGGGGAGGGAGAAGGAGGAAAATGGGGAGGAGGAGAAGGGAAATGCGAAACCCCTAAAGCGCAAAGAAGGAGGGGGAGGGGGAGAAGGAGCCCCCCCCCACCCCGCCTAAGCACGGTAGAAACCGACAACATCCTAGCCCGAAGTGCCCTGCCAGATTTCGCTTCCCGCGAGACCGCCTGCGCGCGGAGCATCTGCAAATCGCAGGTCGGCAGGGGGCAAATGCACCACAGGACGGCCGGGGACAAACATACCAGAGGTTGGCTGGGGGCGAATATATCACAGGACGGCTGGTGCCACCGACCACTCTCTCCTCTGGCCACCCCTCTGGCCACCCCCCACCACCGACCACTCTCTCCTCTCCCTCGCCACCCCCCTCCAAGTCATCCACGTGCGTCCTCGACGGCGACGGCGACGATAGCAGGGAGTGACGCGCGTCATATTTGATAGGGCGCGACACTACCCCTGCAGATGCGCCCGCCTCTCCGCGCGCGTCGGCTGGCCACGTCGGCGCGCCGGCGCGTCCTTCCGAAGCTTCTTGCTCCGGTTGCGTCGGCGCGTCGCCGCCTCCTCGCGGAGCTTCGCGAGGAGCTCCTGGGAGGCCGCGTCGCCGGCCGCGTCGGCGTCGCACGGCAGCCAGATGCGCGCGGCGCCAGGCGCGCCGGCCGCGCCGCCAGCAACCTCGCCCAGCGCGTGTTCGGCGCCTTCGCTGCCGCGCTCGCGGGCCGCGCGCAGCAGCGCGCGGAGCAGCTCCCTTCTTCGCCAGGGCGCGCTGTTCTCGTACTGCGCCCGCGGGATGCACGGCGGCAGCAACGCGCACTGCGCCCGCGGGAAGCCCTGCTGCGCATTCCGGGCCCCCAATGCCTCCAGCGCCTCCTCGGCGCACCGCCTCGGGCACTGGTCGTCGTCCTCGGCGCGCACGGCCCAGATGCCACCCGGCGCTCCTGGGTGCTCCTCCAGGCGGTCCAAGTAATCCTGGAACTTCCCGACTGGGTCCGTGCGCGCCGGAACTCCAGCCAAATAGGGCTGCCCATGGCCGTGGAGACCCCCCAAGGCCGCCGCCTCCATGCGCGGCCGCCCGTGCGCCAGGAGCTCCGTGATGCAGTGAGCGCCGGCGGAAATGCCGAGCGCGACGACGGGCCCGCCGTCGGCGAAGCTCTCAACGAAGTCCGCGAGCAGGTCCACGCTCCCGGGCACTAGATCCCCGAGGAAGCCGTGCGCAGCGTCGCTTCGATCCAGGATCCACAGCCGGCCTCGCGGCCGCAGTGGCGCGAGGAACCGAAACGGCGGCAGTCCCCAGCTCATCATGGCCTTGAGCTTCCCGGCGAACGGCGCTCTCGCGTCGCCACCCTCGCCCCCGAGGCCGCCTCCTCGAGCGGCCCGTTCTCAGGCGGCTCATCCGCGTCAACCCCGCAACTGGAGGGCGCCACCCTGGCGGCGAAGTAGCGCAACTCCTCGCCCGTCGCTGGACACCGCCAAACGATGGGGCCCTGGAGAAAGCCGGCGGGGCCACTCCACGGCGACGCAGCGCGCAGCAGGTGGGCCGGCGGGGGGCCGCCTGGGGGTGTCGGCCCGCGCGGCGACGCAGCGCTCGGATCAGGCTGCGCCGCCGCCTGCGGTCCCGCCTCGTCTTCGAGGTCCAGGTCGCTCGCGCGGGGGCTCGGTGGCGTCGACTCGCCGCCTCCTCCCTCGTCCTGGTGCTGCTCGGCCGGGGCAGAGGGCCCCGCGCTGCCGAGGCCTGCTGCTCGGCTGGGGCGGGGCCTGCTGATCGGCTGGGGCGGAGGGCCCCGCGCTGTCGAGGCCGCTCCCCTTCCTTGGCTGGGGCGTGGTCGGGCCCTGCTCTCCACTCGGCTCAGGCCCCTCTCGGGCTGGCCTTCCCCTGGGGATCGAGACCTCGATGGTGCTGCGGGCGGCGCCCGCAACAGGTGCGGCGGCGGGGGGCCGCCTGGGGGCCTCGGCCCGCGCTGCGACGCAGCGCGCACTAGGTGCGGCGGCGGGTGCCCGATAGGGGGCACGCTCGCGCGGCGGCGCATCCGCGCGGCCGCCCAACGAAACTGCTTGAGCCAAGACCGCAACAACAACACTCCACGAGGGCCTCTGAGTGAGTGCCCTTGGAGCTGTCGCGAAGCCCTGAGAAGGATCCCAGAGGGCTCAATCAGAACCCAGAGATCCCTCTTCGGTCGTCTTGGGGCTCTCTTAGGCTTTCCCTAGGGCCATCGGAGAGGACCAGGACGGCCCCAGGACAGCTTCAACAGGGCCGCCGGAGGGACACAATTAGGATCACCCGGGAGGCTTCTGCCAGGTGATCTTGTGGCGGGAGACCGAGAGTTATGAGGATGTCTCATGCGAAAGTGGCCAGAACAGGTCAGCTCTACGCGTCTCGGAAGCCACTGTTTCGAGGATGTCGCAGGCGACAGTGGCCGGACCGCCACGGGGCAGGGCACCTCCGAAGTCAGAGGTGCGAGGGCGTCTCAGGCGCAAGTGGCCTGAACACCGCATCTCGGGGAAGATCGGGGGTCAGACTACGTGAAGGCAGGGCGCATCCCAGGTCAACGCTGCGAGTTTTTGTGCAGGCGGAACTGTCCAGCTGGCCAGCACAATTTGGGGCAGGGAAGAATATCAGAGGTCAGCGTTGCGAGGATGTCTCAGGATGAGGATGAGGAAGGTCATGATGATGATAATGATGGCGATGGCGGCAGCCGCGCGGGAGGCAACATCTGGCGGGGCAAATTTCGGCGGGAAGCAAGTGCGAGGATGGCTCAGGCGATGGTGGCCAGATTACTTCAACTCAAAGACTATCGGATCCCAGAATATCGGAGAGATGAGACGTGGACCCGGGGTGGGGGACCCACGCAGCCTGGCGATCACACCAAATGCCCGCCGCCATGCCCTGGTTTTCGCACCACATGCGGGCGACGAAATGCCCAACCAGATTTCGTGTTCAACGAAGTCCTCATACGTGCCCACGTACCCCCCGAGTACTCTGAGCGCCCGAGCTGGCTTAGTCCAGTCCTTTATCGGCGTAGGCTGGAACTGGTTGTACAGCATGCCCATCGCGCAACCCATGCTGAGCCCCCCGTTGAGTTCGCCAAGGAATATGACGCGCATGTTGTTGGTCGATGGGAGGACTAGGAGAACCATGGGCGTCGGGGCCAGTGAGGGAGGGAGGGAGAAGAGGGAGGGAGGGAGGGAGGATCGGAACGGAGGAGGGAGGAGGAGGAAGAGGGAGGAGGAGGAGGAGGAGGAGGAGGAGGCGGAGGCGGAGGAGGACTAGGAGGAAGAGGAAGGGGAGGACTAGGAGGAAGAGGAGAGAGAATTTCGAAGGATTACCCATTGGACAACCACGACAACGCCGGGCCGATAAACCGATCAACCGATCAACCGATAAACTGAAACATCCGATATACCGATAAGCCGATAAACTGATAAAGCCAAGCTGTGCTGAGATTCGGGCACGCATGCGATGAGTCGGTTTAGTGGTTGATCGGTTTATCGGCAGATCGACCGATAAACCGATATAATCATATCGGTTTTTCGGTCGATCTGCCGATAAACCGATCAACCAAAATAGTTTATCGGTTGATCGGTTTATCGGTTTTATGTTCGTGTCCTGCGGCTGCAATCAATTTTCAGCTTTCTGGATTTTCCGGTCTGCAGTGGGCTGTGTCGGACTTTTCGGATGCATCTCTCAGGGTGCTTGGGCAAGCGAGTAGGGGAACCGCTTGCAACTACAGAGGTAGCCGGCGAGTGCAGGTGCAGCACAGGTCACAAAGGTGGCCTCCGCTGCTCACTGGAGTAGCCAAGTCAGTGAGCATGTGCACGCAGACCGAGGCGTGGGCGCAGATAGGGGCCAGTGGGCTCGTGCGGATGGCAAAACATGTGTGTATGTGTATGTGTATGTATGTGTGTATGTGTGTATGTGTGTGTGCGTGTGTGTGTGTGTGCGTGTGTGCGTGTGTGTGTGTGTGTGTGTGTTTGTGTGTGCGCGTGCGTGCGTGCGTGCGTGCGTGCGTGCGTGCGTGCGTGCGTGCGTGCGCGTGTGTGCGTGTGTGCGTGTGTGCGTATGCGTGTGTGCGGGGGGGGGGCGTGTTTGAGGGCGGGGGGAGGTGGGGGTAGGGTGGGCGGGGGGGGGGATGGAGCGGAGCGAGCGGTAGGGGGGAGGCTGCTGTGCCAAATCGCCGCGGGCCTGTCTCGCACGCACTGGACCCTCCGTGGTAGTAGATTTGACGTCGGGCTCCACCGTCGCCTCCCGCATTTCGCTGAAAAGCGCCAGGGCCAGTTGCCACTGCCCGCCCTTCTCGCACGCGCTGATCCCAGCGCTGTAGCTGAACCGGTGTGTGCCCGCGCTTGCTGCCATTGGCGGCGGGGGTTGCCGAACCATGGGTGGGTCTGCAGGCGACAGCCACATGCCAGATGGAGGACGACTTGGGGCTCTCTCTGGAGCCGACTTGGAGCATTTGGGGGGCCTCTTGTGCCGTCGGGCGGCTGTCTTGGGCGGCTTCGAGCGCTCCTTGCCCGTCTCGGAGACCCTCTTGGACCGTCTTCGGCCGTCTTCGGGCCCTCTTGGGGGCGGCTCGGAGCGCTCTTGAGCCAGCCTGGAAGCGCGCCGGGCCCCCCCCCACGACGCCGCTGGGCGCGGACCCTTTCTGTGGCAGAATGCACCCAGCCCTGTCTTGGAGGGGCCCGAAAGCCTCAAGAGGGCCACAAGAGCCTCGAGAGGACCGCAAGAGCGCCCCCAGGGGGCCCCAAGAGGGCCCGAAACCACATGTACTTGATATGTTCCTTGGGCTTGCGAGAGGGGCGCCCAAGTACATGCGTCATGGGGCCTTGTCGAGGCTTGGGGCCCTCCTGGCCCCCTCTTGGGACCCCTCGGAAGCGCTCACACCCTGTCCTGGCCCCCTCTAGGGGCCGCCATGGGCGCCTGATGAACCGTCCTGGCGCAGTCTTGAGCCGTCTTGCCTGGCAGCCTCCTGAGGCGTCTTGGGACGATCTTGAGGGCCTGTGTGGCCGTCTTGGACGCTTCGAAAACGAAAAGCACGGGGACTCCCGAAATGTACGTCCCCCCTATGGATTGGAACGATTTTTCCTTGTTCGGGCTCTGCTGGGGCTCTCTCTGGAGCCGACTTGGAGCATTTGGGGGACCTCTTGGGCCGTCGGGCGGCTGTCTTGGGCGTCTTCGAACGCTCGGAAACCGTCTCGGAGGCCCTCTTGGACCGTCTTTGGCCGTCTCCGGGCCCTCTTGGGGGCCTCCAGGGGCGGCTCGGAGCGCTCTTGAACCATCTTGGAAGCGCGCCGGGGCCCTGGGGCCGCGCTGGTGGCCGCCTGGGGGGGCCAGTCCGCTGCCACTGCTCGACCTCTTGGCGAGCGACGAACGCTGTATTTTAGGAGAGATAGTGCGACCCCGTGGATTCAATCCATGGTTAGCTGAACCTGGGACTCGCAAACCGTATGTGCACTCCGAAGAACAAGGCGTCGAAGCCGAACAGCTAGTGGAGCTCGCCGAGAGGACGGGGTCGAGGACAAGAGTGCAGGTGGAGGACCTCGGGGCGTCTGAGCGTGCCTCTGTAATGAGTCCGTGGAGGGAATACGGTGAGTTCGTGTCGTGACGAGCTGCGCTGTTGCTCTTAACACCGGGGCCAGCGTTGCCCCTTTTGGTCTGGCTTCCTTCTGGTGCGCGCTTCTGCCCTGGCGTTGGGCTCAACATTCGCACTCCACAGCTCACCAAGAAGCGATAGCGCCCACTGCCACTGCCTGCCCTTTCTGCACGCGCTGACAATCGCAATGTGGCTGCCCGGGGTAATGAGCGCACGAATTCGGGACGCCTCACAGAAACACTGCAGCGCTGCTCTCCACTGGTTCGTTCTTCCATGCTTCTTGATGTCAACTTCGAATGAAGAAACGCCGTGTCGAAATACCCCCCTGATGTCTAGCATCCAAGGCAATCCTCATCCAACATGGCTTGAACTGGAATGGCCTGAACGCGCACAGCACGCATGGCACGGCACAGAACTACACGATGCGAATCGCACGGTGACATACGCATGGCGTAGCACGCAAAGCATGGCACAACACGCTCGGCACGGCGCTGCTAATCCATCGAACCGACCGCTTACAAGACACGTGCCAAGGTCCAGAAGCGGGGGGCGACATCTTCGCTTCAACACACGAGCCGCACATCGGTCCTGGAGTGCTGATGCGCTGATCGCACTGATCCCGTGGATGCCGTGATGGCAGAGCGAAGCTCCATGTTGGAAATGAACGCGAAGATACGGTTCGTCCGTCCACGGCGATGCAACCCTCGATGTGGCGTGTGTGTGTGTGTGTGTGTGTGTCGGGCCATCAGAGGCGCGCGTCCCGCAGCCGCAGCTACGGACCGTGGCCTGTGCCAACGGGGCACATTTGGGCCGCTTTGGAGCCTCTGGGCAGAACCAGAAACTCACCAACAAGTAATCCCCAGATCACCGAGCAAAGAGCCACCGCAGCCCACCGTGTGTGTGTGTGTGTGTGTGTTTGTGTGTGAGTGTGTGTGTGTGTGTGTGCGTGCGTGCGTGCGTGCGTGTGTGTGTGTGTGGCAGAAGGGCGCCGCGCACATCTCGCGGAGACGTCCGTGCATGCTCGATATATCCCGCAGCGTGTGGCTCTGCGTAGGCAGTCCATGGCATGCCCCAAAGAGTGTTCAATGATATCGATGGAGCTCTAGCCACACGTAGTAAACATAAACACAAATATTGCAATCAATATTTGATCATCCATTCCACTGCTTCTCAACGGTGTTTGGATTAGCGCTACTTCCATTCAGGAGGATTGACGCCGGGACGGAGCTTTCGAGTGTACCGCAAGCGTCGACTATCTTCACGTACATTCCTTCTTCGTCGATGCCGCGCCGTACAGTCCTACCTCATCAACTTGAAATGCGGTTTCGAACGCTATTACTTTCTGAATTTGATGATTCATTATCCCGGGATGTGGGATTGTTATTGCCTGAACGCTGTCAAGAACTGCTACCATAATATTGGAAATCAACTGTGGATTGCCTAGTCGCCTCCGTCATGCTGTCCCTCTTGCGCGATACACCGTCACAATCACTCATCCAACATTTACGGAATTGGCAAACAAATGTCATAGAATCAATGCGGTCACCAGGCTTCCCGCGTATATTATGAAGCATGATTCTACTGTGCACGGCTTGTTTGACGCTCTTACAGCATCGATCTGGGTGGCTCGCTGGTGTACGGCAGTTGTCAATCGTCTCGCATGCGTCGCGCATTCTCGATACATGCCACGTGCAAGCCTTGAGCCGTATAGGCCCCGCCTCTTTCTTGCAGTCGCTTGAGATTTGGGAGCTCGTGTCCATCCAACTCACAGCGACGTTTGTGAAGGACAGGGGCATGCAACATTTGTACCAAATTGGCTATTGGTCGCTTTATGTGGGAAAGGGCCAAATTCAGCGGACATCAAATACTTCACCCGGTGGTACATGTAGGTTCCGTGAACATGTCACAGCTTTGTTCTACCCGTCGCAGACACCATCTTCGAAACAAAACGGCACACCGGCGAGGTATGATGCATTACGACGGCGAGACGGCCGCAGTCTGTATTTCATGTTCTTCAAGCTCGTTGACACATCCATTGCAGACGCCATGGAGGCTGCTCACATATGCCACGTTCGGCCCCACGCTAACGATGCACATGCAGTGGAGCCAGGCGGTCTTCTCAATAAGGTGCGCCGTTGCCGCCCTTTGGGCATGCGTTTACGTCAATGGGCTGGTCGGCATGCACGACGTGGGCGACAACAAATATTGGAGCGCATCGCTGTCCGGGATTGCCATTTCAAGGCTACCATCGTGGCGTCAGAGCTCGTTGTGCGACGGCAATTGTTACTCTCCCGTCAACTGCTTCGGAAGCCGTTCAAAGCTTTATATGGGTGTGCGTTGGCAGCGCACGCGCCTCATTTCGCGTCTGTGGACATTTACGCTTTTGAACATGGTACCTCTATTGATGAAATTCGCTGCTTCTTTGAAAGACGACATTGTTTGGCAGCGAGTGTGCACGGCACGGTCGGGTGTTTGAGTTTGCGTACGTGCTATGGGAAGCCACGACTATGTTGCCACATTCCTGCGGTCGCATGTCAAATCGTTTTTGTCGGAGTGGCTGGCTACCCACGGCCTGCCTGTGCCACGCAATCGTTTTCTTCGTATTCCTGATCCCTCTTGGCACGCATGCGCACGTCAGAACGTACGCTGGATTGCACACAACGCTGGACAACATCTTTCTCATCTGGCACGTTTGATATTGCAGTCGACTTGAATTGTAGCGGCGGCTTCCCCGTGCTTCCGCAGGGATGCCATGAATACAGCGCAGTGGTCATATTCATTTACGGTATCTGAGTTCGACGGCCTCGACCATCAAATTCTTCATTGCGCTGCGAGTGGGGCGGACCTCATTCGGCTTCCTCTGAACGGCAGGTGGCCTACATGGACTTCTTATGCTGATCAACTTCATGGCGTAGATTTGGAGATTACCAAGCTCGGCCGAAGCTTACTTGTACACAGAAACCGTTCTGGGGTGCTGTGGGAGAGACGGCCACCAGATCCTACTCGCCATCCGCTGGAAGATAAGGTCTTAGAGATATGTTCGTACAATTGCGTTCTGAAGAAACGAGTGCTTGTGACCTGCGAGTATGAGGACCCGTACACCTGATGGCTGGCATATCTACTCTGCATAAGGGCGAGGTGATTCGCACAACTTGGAAGGGCATGTTGCACATCGCGTTTCAGTGCGTCCTCAATTGAAAACGCCGTTGCTTTGTTCAAAGATAGGAACGACCATGGTCTGCCATCGCGTTTCCGGCCGAAGTTCAGCCCCGTCTCTGCTAAGACTTCGCCGTACATGTACACGACGGTGAAGGGGAAGTGTTGGACTTCACTACCAGATTCGTTCTTAGGCCGGACGCTTTGGAAGTCTGTCCATACGTGCGAAGTTCCTGGCCACGCTTGCATGAGGACCATGTGCTCATTCGCGCGATTGGCGCCGAAAAACACATGGCGTATGTTCGGCCGCACATTTTCCTTCCTAATTAAGTTTGTCTTCGATTGTGGATGGGCGTTCCGTGGGCTTGACGCTGCACCTTCTGAGGTCACAGAGTGACTACTTGCATTGGAACTGCCGCGGACACACAGGGACGCAGGTCAGGTGATCATCGATGCCAACACTGCTTTGCGCACATGCCGGCTCCGAGCATGGTTGTGGCGGACGCGCCGCAAGCATTTGAAGCTTTAGCTCCATGTGCGATTGATGAGGCTTTGGATTTCATATTCTCGGAAGCTCGGAGGCCCTCCGCACATCCCGACAGGCACGTTGAGCATCACAAAAACCAAACCGTTCGAAGTGACATGCGGAGGACATCCACACGAAAGATACAAAGATCGCAGCGTTATATTTCTATCTACGTTGGAGAAAGTCGTGAAATAATATTTGAAGCTTCGCTTGTACAAGGTCGGTGACCGGATGTTCAAACAAATAGCTGGAGCATCGATTGGAGGACCAATCAGCATGCCATTTTGGATGCAGTCTGCATGCACGAGGAGTACACGTACGACCAGGCAACACCCAGCAGGCCGAACATTTGTTCTACAGGGCGCTACGCTGACGACGTGTTATTATGTTCAGAGCGATTATGGCGGCGTTGTCTCGCAGATCATTTGCCTCGTGTGTATGGTACTGCCATTGTCTTCAAGCCGGAGCCGCCCCCGCGGACGACTGGGAATTGTAGTGAGCAGTCTTATTTAGATGTGATCATATTTGCCAACTGGCACTCTACCCTTATAACACATCTACATAAAAAAACTTCGATTTTGCATTCAAGGGTGATTTCAAGAAGCTGAAGAAACATTCTCTGGCTCCGTTTACTGGGCGTTTCGGGCGCGACCGAATCTCCAAGCAAAGAGCCGAACTCATAGGAAGAATGCGGAGATGGATACTCAACTTCATACTGCTCATCGTGACAGACATGTTGCTCGACATCCGCTACGGCTATAGTATGCATCATTTACATTCTCTGTGGCGCAGGGTCCCGCTCAATGCGGATGTGTTTGACTTGGTATGGGCATCCTTCGACCTTGTGAAGCACACGTGTTCCGAGTTGGTCCTCAATGAGGTGGAGCAATTACAAATGTTGGAACTCCCGCTGCAAACGTGCATCGGGGCGTGCTTGTCAGAGGCAAGTGGGAGATCATCTGGTATGGGGGCTGATGTGTGCGTCTGGTTATCAGTAACGTCCCTGGGGCGGCCGCCAGTTCGACCAGCCCGGTCTCTCGTGCATGCTCTGAGTGATCGATTTCGGTCATATGGTGAATCTCGCGCGGGAGACGCCCGCACTGACCCTCGCGTAGCCTTTTCTCTCGTCACTCTGACCCGACTGGCTGAGCAAATTGGGACTCGGATCGAATAGCCGGGTCGGGTGCAATTTCCCGCCACCTCTTGGGCGGGATTGGGCTTTCTGCGTAGGGGGGCAGAGGGGCGCCGCGCACATCTCGCGGAGACGTCCGTGCATGCCCGATGTATCCCGCAGCGCGTGGCTCTGCGTAGGCAGTCCATGGCATGCCCCAAAGAGTGGTCAATGATATCGATGGAGCTCTAGCCACACGTAGAAAACAAAAGCACAGATATTGCAATCAACATTTGATCATTCATTCCACTGCTTCTCAACGGTGTTTGGATTAGCGCTCTTCCATTCAGGAGGTGTGTGTGTGTGTGGGTGTGTGGGTGTGTACGGGTGTGTGTGGGTGTGTGGGTGTGTGTGTGTGAGTGGGTGTGTGTGGGTGTGAGTTGGTGTGTGTGAGTGTGTGTGTGTGGGTGTGTGTGGGTGTGAGGGTGTGTGTGGGTGTGAGTGGGTGTGTGTGTGTGAGTGTGTGTGTGTGGGTGTGTGGGTGGGTGTGGGTGTGCGTGGGTGTGTGGGTGTGTGTGTGTGTGTGTGGGTGTGTGTGTGGGTGTGTGGGTGTGTGTGGGTGTGAGTGGGTGTGTGTGTGTGGGTGTGTGTGTGTGTGTGTGTGTGTGTGTGTGTGTGTGTGTGTGTGTGTGTGTGTGTGTGTGGGTGTGTGTGGTGGTGGGGGGGGGGGTGGGTGTGTGTGGGGTGTGTGTGTGTGTGTGGTGTGTGGTGTGTGTGTGGTGTGTGTGTGGTGTGTGTGTGGGTGTGGTGTGTGTGTTGGTGTGTGTGTGGGTGTGGGTGTGGGTATGGGCGTGGATGTGGGTGTGGGTGTGGGTGGGTATGTGGGGGTGTGAGTGAGTGTGTGGGTGTGTGGGTGGCTGGCTGGGTGGGTGGGTGGGTGGGTGTGTGTGTGTGTCTGGTGTGTGTGTGGTGTGTGTGTGGTGTGTGTGTGGAGTGTGTGTGGTGTGTGTGGTGTGTGTGGTGTGTGTGTGTGTGTGCGTGCGTGCGTGCGTGTGTGTGTGTGTGTGCGTGTGTGCGTGTGTGCGTATGTACGTGTGTGCGTGTGTGCATGTGTGCGCGTGTGTGTGTGTGTGGTGTGTGTGGTGTTTGTGTGTGTGTGTTTGTGTGTACGTGGTGCGTGTACGTGGTGTGTGTACGTGGTGTGTGTACGTGGTGTGTGTGTTTGTGTGTGTGTGTCTGTGTGTCTGTGTGTGTCTGTGTGTGCGTGTGCGTGCGTGCGTGCGTGCGTGCGTGGGTGAGGGTGTGGGTGTGTGTACGTGGCGGGGGGGCGCAGCGGTTCTAAATCCATGCCATCCATCGCTACGCCAGCAGCCCTCGAAACAACGAGCACGCGTGCACGTGAAGCATCAGATCCTGCTCCTCCTCGCCTTCCCCCGGGCAGTGGAGGCGAAACCAGGCCTGATACTCTCGTGGGCAAGACAGAACCGCCTTGGGGCGGCAAGGGAGTAGGACGAGGGGGGAGGGATGGCCTGCGGGAAGGGGGAGGGGAAAGAGGAAGGGGGGAGGGAGCGACGGAGGGATGGAGGAGGCGGGAGGGAGGGAGGGAGGGGAGACTGCCATGCTCCCACAGATGCGAATGTGGAGGCGCACGAAGGCCCGCGTCTGGCTGCACAGTCGCCCAAAGCCGCCCCCCTGAGGGCCAACAAGGGCGCCAGACCCGCGACAGGCACGGAAGAGGGAGAGGTTTTTGGGGGGGAATGATGGGCAACGCGGCATGGGAGATGGGACCCCGGGAGCTCGGCCCTGGGAAGAAGACCAGGGGTAGGGTAGGACGGAGAGGAGGAACGGAAGGAAGGGAAAGGGTCCGCAGGCGCGACAGCTCGTGGGCTGCGCGCGGCGACGGCTCCCTGGCACGCGGCCCCGGGATGAGATCGAGGGGGAGACTCCGGGGTGGAGGCGCCTGCCTGAAATCAGCGATGGGTCGGCGAATGGCCCCTGAAAGGCGGGGCGTCCAAGAGGGGGGGTGTAAATCATGACCGACGGCACGTGCGCGGCCCCCCAGAGGGGGGGGGCAGGGACAGATTCAAATCAGAAGGGGCGCCATGCATGAAATCTGGTGAGATATCATGGCCTCTGCCACGGTGTCCACCCCCCCCTAATTAGTAATCACCCCCCTCTTGGCCGGCCATGAATGGGCGATGGAAGGCCTGCGCGTTGCCCCCTGTGGCGATCTGCCACTATCACTGTTACCCCTGCGGAGAGGGAGGGAGGGAGGGAGGAGGGAGGGAGGAGGGAGGGAGCAGGGAGCAGGGAGGGAGGGAGTGAGGGAGGGAGGGAGGGAGGTGGTAGGGGGCAAGGAGCAGGGAGGGAGGACAGAAGGATGGTGTGGGAGCCAGACTCACCGCCGGCGGCAAGTCTCGATATCTGTGGAGGCCTGCTCCTCCTCACCTGGCACCTGGTGGCATGAATGCTCAGCGGAACGTTGACTCCCCCTCCTCCCCCTCATCCTACTCCTCCTCTTCCTCCTCGTCCTCGTCGTCCTCCTCCTCGTCCTCCTCGTCCTCCTCGTCCTCCTACTCCTCCTCCTCCTCCTCCTCCTCCTCCTCCTCCTGCTTGGACACCTCCCGGCGCGGAACACTTGTTCGGTTCAAGTCGACGCTGGACCTCGTTTTCCTCCGATCTCCCAAGGCGGGCGGGGCGCCTCCTGCTCCCTGGCCCCAGGCTCGATGAACTTCTCCTGTCCGGCGGCGTGTCGGGGCGCAATGGCTTGCTCGTGTGCCCGGTTGACGTCTGTCAAGGGGCGGCTCGAATTCGCGCGCACCCCATCTGGTCGTACCCTGCGCTGCAATTCGGGCGGGACGGGGGGCAGGGAAAGGGGGAGGGGGGGGAAGAGGCAGACGAGAGAGGGAGAGAGGGGAGCGATGCGGAGAAAGGATAGGAGGAGAGAGGCGATGAGGGGAGGGGAGGGTGAGAGGGACAATGGACAGGGAGGAGATGATGAGAGAGGGAAAAGGCGGAGAAGAGAGCGAGGAGAGAGGGAGGAGGGACAGAGAGGAGATGTGAGCAGATGAATATCGACGAGGACAGAGGAGAGAAGAGGGAAAACGTGCTAGGTCCTGGTGCCGTCTTACCCCGAATGGGCACGCAATACTCACAACCCTCGGCATGTAGACATCAAACCGGCTTTGGCAACGAAGGACCCCCCATGGGGATCGTCCAACCTGTTGAAAGTCACAACAGAACTGTAAGTACTGAGTGCTGGTGTTTGAGGGGGCCCAAGGACACACAAACAAATACACAGGAATAACAGGTTTCCCCATATTTTTTCCATATTTTCTGGATTTGTGTCTTCCCCCCCACTTCCCACATTTTCCTACATTTTCCGGGGAATCGACGATTGACTGTGTATGTGTGTTTTTTCCCTCCCGAGTGCTGCTCTTCTCGGCCTGCCCCCCGGCCTGGAGCCCGCCGCCTGGCCGACCCGAAGCCCTGGGCACGGCGGCGCCAACTTCCCCTGCGAGGCCAGCTCCTCCCTGCCAGGGATCGGCCCTCGGTGGACTCCTCCCGGACACCATCCTCCAGGCCCCTGCAAACGGGGCACGGGTAAACGGGGCGGTAGCCAAGGAGCCTCGTGAAGCGAGAACGGGGAGAGAGGGCATTTACCTCGCACTAGTGCGCCATAGATCGGGACGGCCAAAACGCCGATACAGCATCATAGCTCTTGGCGGGGGGGTTTGCCTCGCACCTGTGCGCGGCAAATCAAAGGTTTTAGAACACCATTGAAAACGCACCCTTAGCTACCGGCCCGTTTACGAACGCCCCGTGTGCAAGGGTTTGGATCTGTTTCGGGACGCGTCCGGACGTGGCCACGGTGGAGCCCCTGAGCCCGGAAAAGACAGAACTCTAAGAACCGAGGCGTCGCAGCAACGTCAAGGCGGCGCGAGCCTGCTTGCATCGTTTGGGGGGGGATTGGGGGCGGGAACCCCGACGACCTCGTCGGAGGGCCTGGCCCTGCTGAAGAGACGTCGCGTTCCGCCCACGCAGGGCTGCGGCCACAAAATGCGAAGTGTGAGGCAATGCCTGCCACGGTAACGAAGATGCAGGGAAGGACAAAAGCGGAAAAGTCGTGTCCCCCACTCTCGGGGGCGGCCAAGAGGGGGGCGTCAAGAGGGGGGGCGCAAATCATGGCCGGCGGCATGTGCGCTGCCCACGGGGGGGAGGCCAGGGACGTAATGAAATAAGAAGAGGCGCTATGAAATCTGAAGAAACATCATGGCCCACGCCATGATATCCCCCCCCCCCTGTCATCACCCCCCTCTTGGCCGCCCCCGACGCTGTTTCTCTCCATCGGGCTGTGAGACGGATTGAAGCCCCAATCAGGCGTTGGCAGAACTGGGCTTGGTGGGACCAGGTTTATTTAGTGAGATGTACTGGGCCCCCCCCCGCCCCGTTCCACGAACCGGAACTGCCGTCACCCGAACGTACACCAGATAGCTACGGCAGACCTGGTTAGGTGATTCTGCCCAACTTCGGGGCTCCGGGGCCCTACCACCAACCGGGCCCCCTTGCCTGGGGCCCTGGCCGTACCCGACCCACGGGGGGGGCACCTGCTGCTCGCACACCGGCATGCGGCTGCCGCAGCCGCAGATCTCGCGGTGCTCCTTGCTGGCGGTCCCGGCGGCCGTGTGCTGGCAGAGGACCTCGGCGGAGCGCGGGCCGCATGCGCGCACGCGGGGCAGCGCCACGGCAGGAGGGCGCCGTGCATGCACGTGCACAGGCCCTGGCCGGGCCCACCCTGAGCCCAGGATGGTTGGAGGAGGAGGAGGAGGAGGAGGAGGAGGAGGAGGAGGAAGAGGTATACTCAGAGTTTCTTAACAAGCGTTGGAGGGGCGTCACCCCCGCCGACAGGCCCACATCGATCCCCGTCGCGGGCAGCCACCGCGCGCCGAAGGCGCTCCGACCTCCGTCGCAGCGCGACGACGAGGCGAGGTTGACCCCCGTCGAGGGGGTACCTCCCACTACCATGAGCAACGCTGAACACGAAACGAGGGGGCTTCTCTTACCACGGCGAGCCTCGGCCATAAAACGAGCTCCCCCGCCCGGGACCTGGGGCACGGCCAGAAAACTGGAGCACCCCCCCGAGCCCAAAGCGGTCCTTGAATCAGTGTCTCGAGTGGACGCCGAGCATGGCCAGGCCCACCCTGAGCTCAGGATAGGTGCACACGCCCTCCCAACTCTCAGAAGAGAAACGGGGACCGCCACCACCGAGATCCCATCAGGGGTGACCGACCCTTCGGCGGTGGCACGCCTTAGCGTCACACAGCACCGGCCAACGCTCAGGCGTGCCACCGCACAGGGGTCGCCCCCTCCTCCCGAGGGGTTCTCGGTGGCCGTGGTCCCAGTTTCTCCCCTGACACCTGGCCTGAAAAAACACCTACACACCTACGGTGTGAACATTGGATGAGGAACCCTTAGATAAGGAATCCAGGGTCTGGAAGCCAGTGGAACCAGTCGTGGATCGGCCATAGATATCACCACCGCCCTCATTGGATAAATAATCCTCCAAGGTCTGGCGCCTCCTGGGACTATTCCTTAACCAACGCCCCCACCGTGGCGGATTCCGAAAACCCTCAACCAAAAAGCCTTGCCATCTCTTGGGGCTGGGTCTTTTGCGTCCGCTGGCTTCCGCCGGCGGGGGCGGCATCATTCCACTTCCGCGGGAGACGTCGCCGCCCTTCCGCCGCCTACCGCGAGGAAGAGACGACAGCTCCTTCGATCCTCGAAGGCGAGATCCTTTCTGGCACGCCTCCTTCGAAGCCTGGCCTGGAAGACAACTCGAAGTGAGGGGAACCGAGCGCTCTTTTCCTTGGTGCCTGCGCGCGCGGCTGACTGAAGGAGAGGCAGGGCGGAGGGCGTGGAGGGCGCACGGGGGAGGGCGCGCGGGCGGGAGGGTGCGCAGGAGGAAGCGCGCGAGGGCGCGAAATGGCCGCGGGGTGGTTCGTCCCCCTTGCATGCGCAGCTTCCTTTCTCCTCTGAGGCCTGGCCTGGAAGACACCTCGGAGTGAGGGGAACCGAGCGCTGGTTGTAGGTCGGGCCTGTCCCCGCACAGGGGGATTTGGGGCGAAAGCAAAACAGTAGTCAAAAAATACCCTCAAATGGTAAAACAAAGAATCAACAAATCGTCCCCAAACTATTTCGTTGCTAATCCGCCGGCCCCCTTGTGGGGCCACCAGGCTGTAGGCCCGTGATTCGCAGTTTCCTGTACCAGTTGTAGTTTGTAGTTTCCAGTGTTACAGTTCTGCTTCTTGCTGGTTACTGTAACTAGTTGATTGACCGCGCGAGGGGAGGGAGGCCCAAACCAGATTTTTAGCACCACCTGGGCGCGTTGTCTGAATTGCTGGGGGGGCTCGAAATCGACACCCCTCACGCAGATTCGCGGGGTCAGGGTCCAAAAACACAGGGGATTTGCAACATTTTTGAAATTCGGTGCCACCCCTCACGCAGATCCGCGGGGTCAGGGTCCAAAAACACAGGGGATTTGCCACACTTTTGAAATTCGGTGCCACCCCTCACGCAGATCCGCGGGGTCAGGGTCCAAAAACACAGGGGATTTGCCACATTGAAATTCGGTGCCACCCCTCACGCAGATTCGCGGGGTCAGGGTCCAAACACACAGGGGATTTGCCACATTTCTGAAATTCGGTGCCACCCCTCACGCACATCCATCGCAAGGCGTGGTAACCCAAACTGCGAGTACTCCCTCGGCCCTTTAATCCCAAGGTGTGGTAACCAAGCTCGTAAACCATACACGTCTTACCAATCGCCCTGTGTGGTAACCCCTCTTGTGATCAGTTGGTTTTGCCGATTGCGAATCGGCCTCGCATGAAGTTCCGATACTGCTGCACGACAGCGCCAAAGCCTCATGACTTAGCTCTTCCATGGCCCATTCTCCGAGAGAGGGGGCCGGCGGCAGGGGGCGAAGCCCTTACGGATTTTTGAAGATTCCTCTCCTGTAGAGGGGACAGGCCCGACTTCACGCTGGATTCCTTCGTCCCTGCGCGCGGAGGAGGAGGAGGAGGAGGAGAAGGAGGAGGAGGCGGAGGAAAAGCAGGAGGAGGAGGAGGAGCAGGAGGAGGAGGAGGAGGAGCAGGAGGAGGAGGATGAGCCCGACGTAACGCTGGTTTCCTTCGTCCCTGCGCGCGCGGCCCAAGGGAAGGCCAGGCGATGCGCGCGGAGGGCGCGCGGGGGCATTGGCGCGGGCGGTGGTGGAGGACGCGCGGGCTGGGGGAGCGAGCGAGCGAGGCACCCGTGCAGAGCAGCCTCCTGGCCTGTCTGCGGCTGTGCAGACGAGGCCGCGGCCTCCGCATGTGCTGTCGTGTCTGTGTCTGTGTTTGCGTGTGTGGCAACATGCGATGTATGCTGCGACATCATGCAAGCTTGCGTGAGAGGGCGCAAGGGGGAGGGTGCGCAGGGAGGGCACGAGGGCGCAAACAGGGGGGGGGGGTCGCCCCCCCTTTCCATGCGTAGATTGCTCCCTCCTCCCTTTCGTCGTTTGCCCTCCCTCCTCCCGTCTCCGAATGGGCGCTCTCTGTGTCTCTCTCTCTCTCTCTATTCCCTAGAGGGTTGCCGATCGCGCACTCTTCTGCCCACGCGTCCAGCTAGATGCCTTGCTCACACGTGCATGTGATCCTGTCCGCACTTGCGGGGCGTTCGGTGCATACTAATCCTGGGTCAGGATCGGCCTGGCCAGGGATCGGTGCAGGCGTGGGTGCACGTGGCGCCCTCCGACACGATGGCTGCCAGCCGAACGGGGCTGGAGGGTCTCACCGCATCGCCAGCGCATCGGCGTCGTCTGGATGGCGAGAATCCGCCGACCCCTTGGGGTCATCGGCGTGTGAGATGCTTCCCCCCTCCCCAAACCCCTCCCCCCGGAGCCTGGTCCGGTCGTTTTGGAGGGGGGGGGGGGGGGGTCCGGCCGGATTCCCCGGGATCCGCCGGCGCGGTCCGGGGGGGGTCATCCGCTCCAGAGAGTCTGCTGGGGGGGCCGCAAACGAGCGAAGAGGCTCCCAAGAAGCTCTGCAGACGGTCCAAGAGGGCCCCGAGTCGCCGAAAAAACACTCGAAGACGGTCAAGATGGCCTCCAGATGGCCCCAGATGCCTCCAAGACGCCCCAAGAAGCTTCCAAGACGCCTCCCAAGATGGCCCCAAGAGGCCAAAATCGTCGATTTCCATTGGTTTTTTCAACGTTTTTGGCCTTCGCGTTTTTTCGGGCTTCCGACGCTCCAAGACGGCGAAAGAAGCCCCCAAGACGGCATCAAGACGACCCGAGAGGCTCCCAAGTGGGCCCCAACACGGCCCAAGAGCGCCTCAAAACGGCTCAAGAGGGCCTTCAGACAGTCCAAGAGGGCCCACAGAGGGGCCCAAGAAAGGCTCCAGACGGGGACCACGAACCTAAAATTCTAGCCTTCCGCCCCAAAAGGCGCCAAGGAGGCCCCAAGAGGCCTCCAAGAGGCTCCAAGAAGCCCCCAAGAGGCCCCCAACAAGCCCAAAAAAAGCCCCAAGCTGCCCCAAAACAGCTCCCCAGAAGCCTCCAAACTGCCTCCCGCAGGCCCCCGAGAGGATTCTCACGACGACGGCGCCAGAGGCTCCCACAACGGTCAACGAAGCCCCCAAGATGGCCCCAAAAAGGTGCCCAGCCTACGCCGTCGAGTCTGTCGCCGCCATTGTCGTCCTCGTCGTGTTCTCCTGCTCCTTCTCATCCTCCTCTTCCGCCCCCTCCTCCCGTCTCCCCTCTCAGCTTTCTGTCTCGTATTCCCTCCACTGGCTCACTTTTCACCTTCTCCGCCTTTGGCTGCTCCCCCATCCTCCCTCCTCCACGTCCCCCTTATCCATCCCGTCCCCAGCGGTCAGATTCCTCGCAACTTCCGTGCCTTGTCGCAATGCTCGTCACTTGGTTCCGCCGGGCGTTTCGGAGGGTCTCTCCGCGGCGCTCGTCCCGCTTTAAAACACTTCGCGCACACAACTGGGTTGTTTCGCTTGAAATAATTCTTCTTCTGGTCTTTCGACAAATGGCCCCCGTCTGAAAACGCTGGTTTCTTCCCGTCCCCGTTCGGTGGGCACGCGGAGCATTCAAACTTTTTCGCCCCCGTGCGCGCATCGTGACACGCGCGGCACACGACTGGGCGATGCGCCTGGCCCGTCTTCCTATAATGTACTTTCTGGTTATCGGACAAATGGCTCAAGTCTGTGAACGCGGGCGCCTTCCCATCCGCCCCCGTCGGGCATGCTCCACAACGGAAAATCTGGGCCTCCGATTTTTCGTGGCACGCGCGGCACATGACCGGGCGATGCGTTTGGCCCGTTCTCCTGTAATGTTCTTTCTGACTGTCCGATAAATGGCTCACGTCTGTAAACGCGGGCCTTATCCATCCCGTCCCCAGCGGTCAGATTCCTCGCAACTTCCGTGCCTTGTCGCAATGCTCGTCACTTGGTTCCGCCGGGCGTTTCGGAGGGTCTCTCCGCGGCGCTCGTCCCGCTTTAAAACACTTCGCGCACACAACTGGGTTGTTTCGCTTGAAATAATTCTTCTTCTGGTCTTTCGACAAATGGCCCCCGTCTGAAAACGCTGGTTTCTTCCCGTCCCCGTTCGGTGGGCACGCGGAGCATTCAAACTTTTTCGCCCCCGTGCGCGCATCGTGAC